GGAAAAATAAAAAGAAAAAACTAAATATTTTTAAACAATAAAAACTAAGTGTGTGTGTGTGTTTTTTTTTTGGCTTATTTTATTTCAAAATTCAAAAAATTGCAAATGAAAAGTATCGCCTCTAATTGCCAGTTTAAACTACCAACTATTGAATTGCCAATTTTATAAAAACTTGTTAAGTTCAAAAAAAAAAGTTTGTTTTTTTTTCTCATTTTAGCAACATTTAATTGCATTAAGTCTTTTTTTTCTTGAGGACTTAACTGTCAGAAAAAAGAAGTAAGGAATGTTTGAGTGACCAGAAAAAAAAAAAAAAAAAAACCGTCTATTATTCTCAATGTTTAACCTTTAACATAATCAATCATCCTACAAAAATAAAATATCAATCTGTCAGCCAGTAATAAAATGTAATACTATTTTCAAAAATTTCGATGGACTGCTGAAAATTGTCTGAATGTCCATCATCGGTTTTGCTCTAATTGCTCTGTCTCGTTGAACCATTGAAAGCAAAAAAATGACTTTACCTTTACTTCTTTTTTTTTTTTTCTTAGCAGTCTGCTGCCATCCCAAGTTCAAAAGATAAACAAAACCCTAACTTAAGCATACTTCTGACTATATTCTGAACCTTTGTTCGTAAATGTTAAAAACAGTAACTTCATATGACACTTTCTTTTCATACGTTTCACTCCTGAACCCCGCCTATTACTGCTGTGATTGCGTACCGCACACGTGTAAAACAAATTGGGATTTCAAAAATTACCTTTTAACTTTATCGCTAATTTACTTGCAGCTTTATCGAAATTGAAACCGTTTTTCCGCATAAAATCCAGGCAATTAAATGGTACAATGAGCACAGCAACCGTAATATTTATACTGTTTATGTACATATGCCACATTACATGGGCAAGAACTTATCCCTGTTCCACTTTTGGCCGTAACTGGGCTGCCGAAATCAGATGTTTGAGAAATTTGCTTTCACACTGTGAGAAGTCACTCAAGGACTCCTCGCGACGAACAAGTAGAGGTTTATTGAGATCTTTAAAGTTTTACTTAAACTATATTTCTTAAAACTACTTTACGTCAAACCAACCTCTGAGTCTAAATTAGCTTTTCCCAACTAACATTTCAGACTGCATTTGTAAATATCGTAATCCCACGCAACTACCATACTTCCACGAACTAGGAAGTAAAAGTAACCCAGCAAATGAGGAAAACGATTATACCACTTCAGTTCCGATTAAGAAGTCCGATTTTCTACTGAGCCACGAAGCTATTGCATTGATGAACAGGAAGAGCAAGGATACCTTAGAAATAGTCCAGCTACCTTTCACTTCAACTGCTGCTTCCAAAATAACGACCAAAATGACAGCAACAACCATTCCGATAACCAAACAAAAGCCGATTGCTTCTCTCCACAGAAGCTCCAACAAAAATAGTGATAGTAAAGTTTTTTAGAACGACATAAACGTCACCTAGACTTGACGCATTTTCCAGCATTGCCGTATACAGACTAAATGCCGACTTAAAAGACAAAAAAAA